GTTTCGTAGTCCCATAGGGAGCGTGGGGGGATCGCATGCGGTTCTGACCTGTTTGGCATACCTCTCAAATGTTTATTGGCCCCGCAGGAAGCTCCACCGAAGCCCCCAGGAGGGGGGATTCGCATGCGGCTCCCCGCCCATTTTTGGAACACCCCTCACACGCTTCGTGGCCCCATATAGAAAGCCCCACCGAAGCCCCCAGAGGGCGGGGGGCGCATGCGGTTCCCGTTCATTTCGGCACACCCCTCACACGTTTCGTGGCTGGGAGCTCCACGAAAGCTTTCAGGGAGGGGGGGGGGGCGGCTCGCATGCGTCCCCAGGCTCGTTTCGGCACACATCTCGTGTGTTCCGTGCCCCCATGGGGAGCTCCGCCGAAGTTCCCAGGAGCGTGGCCCGCATGCGTCCCCAGGCCCATTTCGGCCCACTCCTCACACCCTTCGTGGCCTCATAGGGAGCTATACTGTAGGCGATACTCATAAGTGAGGTACCAACAGCTGCACATGGTTGGGACCTTCGCAAGGATATCTTCCACAACGTGGATCTCAACGGAGGTCTCGTCCCCTTCCACGAGACCAGCTTTTCAGTTTGGAGTTTCCCCCATATCCTAAGATGGGGTTATTGTTGTTAGTGTTATGCTTCCGGCTCTTCACCTCACAACCAGCATCCTCCCTTCTCCCTCCTCGTACTCAGACACCAAGTAGCACTCATGCTCACCCACACTCTGGCCTCCTTCTATGTACTCATACGTCCTCACACTCACACTCATGCTCATGTTACCTTATAGTCAGACTTACTCACGCTCAGACTCATTCACACTTAGACTCACTCACACACAGGCCAGTCACAATTACATGCACTCATCGTCAGCTTGATCATCGTAGTCAGGCTCACACACACACGCACTTAAAGTCACTGACGCGCAGACGAACTCAATTCTCGACGTAGCATGTTACCCAGTCACGCTCAGACCAACTCACACCCGACGCAACACGAGTGGCAGCCCAGCACCCCAAGAAGGAGCCACCAGCGGGAATATCATTGGTCCCTTCGTGCCCAGATTGTGGGGATGTCTCTCGCGGATTGTTTGCTTCGGCGCCCCGATCCTTCTCGCATGAAATCCTGATGATCCCCGCGACATTCCAGGCGTGGCATTTGAGTAAGCCGCCAGGGAGGAGGACATTTCCCCGTGCGCGCCCAGATTCGGGCGATGTCGCAGGCGGTTTGCCTGTTTCGGCTCCACCGACCCATTTCAGGTGAGAGTCGGTGAGAGCCCCTTGGCCACCGCGATGTAGCAGACGTGGCACTTTGGCACCCCATGGATGAGCCACGGCCACCAGGGAGGGGGGCACTTGCCCGTTCGCGCTCAGGTAGCGGTGTCTCAGGCGGTTTGCTTGTCTCGGCGCCCCCGACCGCTTCTTCATGTGGCAGCCCGGTGAACACCGCGGTATAGCAGGCGTTGCTTCTGGGACATCTCAAGGCGGAGCCGCCAGGAAAGAGGGCACTTGCTCGTCTGCGCCGGGCATGTGGGGATGTCTCCTGCGATCTGCCTGCGTCGGTGCCTCGGACCCCCGTCCCTTTTACATCCGAGAGCCGCAGGATCACCGCGCGCGCTGTAGCCGAGGCGTGGCGCATGGCCACCCCAGAGGGAGGAATCGCCACGGAGGAGGGCACGTGCCCGCTTGCGCTCAGATTGCGGCTGTGGCGAAGGCCTTACGGCCGGTGCCGCCGACCCTGAAGACGAGGACGCTGACCACGACGAGGCAGAATGAGGAGAGGTAACCCTGATCAGGCATTAAGAATCCCCCCTAGGTTATTTAATCGCTTCGCTCATTCCGCCGGCCCATATTGTCGCAACGTTGTGGGCTAGCCGAGTTTGGGGGCCTCTTGGGGGCCGTTTTGGGGCCTCTTGGGGCCTCTTTTGGGCCTCTTGGGCGCCTCTTGGGGCGTCTTGGGGGCCTCTTGGGGGCCTCTTGGGGCCTTTTTGGGGCCTCCTGGGCGCCTTCTGGGGCGGAGGGCTCGATTTTTCAGTTCTCGGTTCCCCTCTTGAGCCCCTCTTGGGCCCGTCTTGGGGCCTCTTGGTCCGTCTTGGGCGGCACTTGGGCCGTCTTGGGGGCCCTCCTGGGCCGTTCCGGGGCCGTCTTGGGAGCCTCGTGGGCCGTCTTGGAGCGGTCTTGGGGGCCTCTTGGGCCGTCTTGGAGCGTCCGGAAGCCGAAAAAGCCAGAACACAAAAAACATCGAAAAAAACAATGAACATCAACGATTTTGGCCTCTTGGGGCTCTCTTCGGAGGCCTCTTGGAAGGCTCTTGGGGCGTCTTGGAGGCCTCTTGGGCTGTCTTGGGGGCCTTTTGGGCCGTCTTGGGGTCATCTTCGGCGTCTTCGAGCGCTCTTTGGGCGTCTCGGGGGCCTCTTGGGCAGTCTTGGGGGCCTCTTGGGGCACTCTGAGCGCGCTCTGGGGAGCCTGAGAGGCCGCACCCAGAAGGAAAACCATCTCTGAGTAGACTTGGTCGGGCGGCGGTTGGTCGGGGTACTTTTCGCCGGGGGACCCCCAGGGGCCGCCCCGCGCGCGCGAACTAGAAATACTGTTAATACTGTTAACCAGTTACCGGAGATCTTAGCACGCCCTGGCCCGTTGGGCCGGCGAATTCTTAGCACCCGGTTTTTCAATATTCCAGGCGGGCAGTTTTCGCAGAACGATTAACTTAGCACCCACCGTAAACAGAAAACAAAATCCATCGGTGGCCGCCCCAATAAGGCCAAGAGAGGGTGTCGCAACGAATGTCAAGGATCTAGCCCAGATCTCTGTGGACCTCTATCCCTGGTATGCCCTACTAAGCCCTGCTCAGCCCTGCTAAGCCCTGCTATGCCCTGCGGGCCGAGGGGCCTTCTTGAGGTTAGGACGAGCAGGGTGAGGAGCCGCATGAGGAGGAGGAGGAGGAGGAGGAGGAGGAGGAGGAGGAGGAGGGTGAGGAGGGTCTCGTGAGGGTCTCTTGGGACAATCTTGGCTCGTCCCGGTGCCCGCTTGCGCTCAGATTGCGGCTATTTCTCGGGCGGTCTGCTGGTTTCTAAGCCCCAGGCTGCTGTTCATTCGACAGCCCCAGGAAATCACCGCGATACAGCGGGCGTGGGCCTTGGCCTCTCCAGGGGGACGCCGCCAGGGAGGGCACCTGCCTGTTCGCGCCGAAATCGTTATGAACTCTCAGGCGGTTTGCTTATTTCTAAGTCCCCGACTCCTTTTCGTTGTTGTCTCTTTTTTCCATTAAAAAACATTTGAGAACCGCATGAACACCTCGATATAGTGGGCGTAGCACTTGACCACCCCACGGAGGGGCCGCCAGGGAGGAGGGCGCCTGCTCGCTCGCGCTCAAGCTGCCGTGAACTCTCAGGCCGTTTGCTTGTTTGGAAGCCACCGACTCCTTTTTCCATGTGGACCCTACGAGCACCGCGATATAGCAGGCGTGGCATTTGGCCACCCTAGGGAGAAGCCGCCAGGAAGGTTGGCACTTGCTCGTCTGCGCCCAGATTTTGGATTTGGGAGATATCTCCTGCGGTGTGCCTGCGTCGGTAGTTCGGACCCCTGCTTGTTGAGAGCTTCGTGACCACAGCGATCAAGCAGTCGTGGCATGTGGCCACCCCAAGGAGGGCTGCCAGGGAGGCTAGCACTTGCCCGCTCGTTGCCAGAGTATGGTGATGCCTCTGGCGGTTTGCTCGTCTTGAGGATCAGCATTATGCTCGTCCTTTGAGAGCATCATGAGCACCACGATGTAGCAGCAGGCGTGTCATTTGGGCACCCCGAGGAGGAGTCTCCGCGCTGATATGTTGGGGATCTGTCAGGCTGTTCGCTTGTTTTGCAAATGAGAACCCTTTCTTTTGGGCCGCGATATAGCAGGCGTGGCACTTGGGCACGCCAAGATGGAAACGCCAGGAGAGGGACACTTGCCCGCCTGCGCCCAGGTTATTGGGGATGTCTCAAGCGGTTGACGTTTTCGACGTCCACACTTTCCTGCTTCTTCCTTCTCGCCTGCTTCGCTTGACTCACATTCAGATCCACGCAGGTTCAGCTAAGTCATACTCATGCTGCAAATGGCCACAGACCGTTCACACACTGAACATTCACAACCAGGCCCACTCACATCCAGACTCACTCATGTTCATACTGCCCGCGCTTGGACCACAGGTGCTCACATCCACCGACACCCAGATTCCCTCGTGCTCAGGCTCCTTCAGGCCTAGACTCAACCACGCTCAGACTCACTCGCACCCAGACCCACTCACACTCAGACTGATACACCCAAACTCTGGGTGTGAGTGTGACTGACTCACGCCCAGAATTTGAGTGTCCAGACTCATCACTCGCTATGTGAGTCACGATCACTCGTGCCCAGACTCTGCCACACCCTCAGACGTCGCCACGTTCAGACCGCTCACGCTCGGGGACGCTCCATGCGCAGCACTTGGGCGCGCCGAGGGGGAGCCGCCAGGGGGCACTACGCGTGCCCGCTCGCGGCCAGAGCGTGGGGGTCTCTCCATCGCCAGAGGCTGGGACTCGACCCCTCAGACACAGTGGGGACGTGCCAGGACATGAACTGCACACGTGGGGATCCCCGCGTCGAACAATTTGTTGACAGCCCCGGGGCCTGGCAGGGGTCCCTAGACGCAGGAACAACCCAGGCATGATTCGTCTTGTTCTAGGGAGTCGGGTTCAGGGGTGGAACATGTGTCATGGACCCGTGAACAGCTGCGTTCCGGCGAGAATTTCGCGGTGGATGCGGCCATGGCGAAGAAGCGCCTCCTAGAGGCGCAGAAAGAACGAAAAGCATCCGGAAACCTCCGTTCTCGAACCTCGCAAGTTTCGCCCTTCCCCCCTCCCCGGCCCTCTCCACCTGCGCTTGTCCTCCTCATCCTCCTCCACCTCTTCCGCCTCCTTCTCCTCCGAGACTCTTCCTTTCGTTCTGTTAGGCTCCGCCTTCTCCTCCTCCTCCGAGCCTCCTCCTCCTCTGAGGCAGAGTGGCGATACCCTTGCGCCGCGTCGTGCAGGCGGGGCATGCCCTGGACGTCCTCGAGCCGCTGCAGGGCAGGGGGAGGGGGCAGCTGCTGGTGAGGCTTGAGCTCCTAACGAGCCGGCCCTGGGACGGCGCCTCGCTGGGCAGCCCCGAGCCAGGTGCTCGGAGCCCGTTCTCCTATTATCTTCCTGATCCTCCTCCTCCTCCTCCTACTCCTCCTCCTCTTCCTCCTTCTCCTCCTCCTCCTCCTCCTCCTTCTCTTCCCCTCCCTTCTGCTCCTTCTCGTCCTCCTCCTCCTCCTCCTCCTCCTCCCTCCTCCTTTCCTTCTGCTTCTCCCTCCTCCTCTCCTCCTCCTCCTCCTCCTCCTCTAAAGGTCCTCCTCCTCCTCCTCCTTCCTCCTCTCCTCTGCTCCTGTTGAGCCTCCCCCGCGGAAAGCCTCGCGAAAGCCTGCGAATGGGATCGCTCCCCCGTCCCCCCTCCTCGCCCCCCCCTATGGTCGTGGCCCTCTGGGCGTGGCGTGGTCGAGGGTGGACCTTCCGCAGCTTTCGCCGAGAGCCCTTTCCGAGGCCCAGGTCGCAGTAGGGCCTCGCGAGTGGGATCGCTCCCCCCTCCCCGCTCCTCCCCTGCCCCCCCACCGATGTTGTCGTGGCTCTGTGGGCGTGGCGCGGTCGAGAGTGGACGTTCCGCCGCTCACGCCGAGACCTCCTTCCAAGACCCCGGACCCAGGTCGCAGCAGGGCCTCGCCAACGGGATCGCCCCCCCCCCCCCCCTCTCCCTTGTTGTCGTGGCCTTGTGGGCGTGGCGTGGTGGAGGGCGCCAGTGCCCCCCCCCTCCCCCTATGGGTGTGGGGTGGTTCAGGTCGTCGTCGTCGTCTTCTTCCGTGGTCGTTGGCATCGGCATCGGCGTCGGCGTCGGCGTTGGCGTCGGCGTCGGCGTCGGCGTCGGCGACGGCGTCGGCGTCATCGTCATCGTCATCGTCGTCGTCGTCGTCGTCATCGTCGTCGTCCCACCCCCCCATCCCATTGGGGGGTGGGGGGGAGCTGGGGAACCCGGGGATCCGTCCCATCTAGGGGTGGGGGCTGTGCACCCCAGACCAGGATCGTGTATCGCCGATTCCAGGTCGATGTTCCCCCCCACCTCCTGAGCTGGTCCCCCCCTTCTATTTGCCCCCCCTCCCCGCTGCCGAGGCTCGGGCGCCCTGGAGGTGCCCCACGCCGATGCCTCGACTCGCGAGGGGGCGCCCGAGGAGGCCGTCGTGGAGGTGTGACGGCGCACAGGGCGAGGAGAGGGGGAGGGGAGGGGAGGAGGGCCTCAGGCCAGGGGAGGCGGAGGCCTGGAGGCTGACATCAATACCCGTGTTGGTGGTGTGCCCTCCGCGCCGCTGGAACGTGTGCATTTTTTTTTGGCGAGGACCATCGAGGAGCATCCCGGATCATCGAGCAAAAAAGACGCACGACGTCGAGAAATGCGCGGGGAATGGGCGTCCGAGCGGTGGCGAGTGTGCCTCCGCCGAGGGACGACGATCCCGATCTCGGTAGTGGTGGTAATACTCGGGCGTCCTAGGTAGCCGAAAGATTACCACCAACACCAACATCTAGGATCATCTTCCCCTGGTGGAGGTAATCCCCTGTGTTGGTGCTGGTGCTCACTTCCAAGCGTCGACGTGGGTCCAGTGCCCCGCGACCGAGGAAGATGACCTCCTCGACAAACGCGGGCAACGCTGGGACGTGGCGAAGCAGAGGGGTGCCGGCTCCTGGCAGTCTGTGCTGCTCAGGCGGAGGGGGAGGAAGGGAACGAGGAGCAAGGAGACAACGGCGAATGCGCAGGCGGGAGGTCCGGGCCAGCGGGACGAAGCAGGCGGGAGGGCAGGCGGAAAGGTTCTCCAAGTCCAGAGAGCCCTCCCCCGAAGTTTTCGTTTTCAATCGCGCCCGCCACTATCAGAGCCGCTGTCATGGAGGAGCGCTAGACGCGCTATGCTCTGATCACACGCGCGCCATCCCGCATATGAGTGCACACTTGGAAAAATAAGCACACACGCGCTCACAATATGCTCGTGGAGGCGACGTCTGGCGTGGCCTGCGTAGCCTTGCCCGTCCAGTTTCACTCACGTTTGCTTCCTCTTTGCTTCGTACGGGTGGGAGGCAGAGTTGGTGCTCGACGCTCGCTCCGCGCGCCTTGCATGATTCGGGGCGCCGTCAGCTGACCCACGTATCCGTCTCGCAGCCATTCTCTGCGCATTCCTCCTCATCCTCATCCCTCTTCATTCTCCACGTCCTCATCCTGCCTTTCTTCCTAATCCTTGCCAGGTGGGGGCTTGCCCCCTTCCCCTTGTTCATCCCTCCGTTGTTTTGCCATTCTGCCATTCTTGCCATTTCGACGCTGCTATTGGGTTCCATGCCCGAGCCGAGGGGCGTGGGCGTCTCCTCATGTGTTTAGCTTGCCCCCTTTTCCTCCGCCCCGCAGTCATCTCACTCTTCCTCCGCATCCCCATCCCCCTCATCTCCGCTCATCCTCCACATCCCTCCCCCCCCCTCTCCATCGTCTTTGCCGAGTGGGGGGGGCATGAGGTGCTCGTTGTTTGGATGGGCGGTCACCAAGTGTTCGAGCCATCCGTGATATTGGGATGTCGACTGGGGCATCGACCAGTGCCGGGTGCAACAACCAATGGGACAATTTGCAACACATTGGAGACCGTTTACAATGTGTGTCGTACAAAGCACGATATTAGTATGTGAACACAGAATAGCATTAACATAGTGGGTTTTTTCCTGAGAAAAAAAGATCCAGCGGGCCTCTGGGAAATGCTTCGCCCGCGGACGAGTTTATCCAGACGGGTTCATCCCGGCAGCTTTATTCGGACCCTCTCGTCAAGAAGAACGTTCGTGCGGATGAAATCGTCGCGGATGAATTCGTTCTGGATGATTTGGCCGTGTTCCCAAAAACAGAGATCCCAGAGGGGGGGACGTCGAACCTGGCAGACTCGCGGCGGAGAGCTGGGGTCTGTTCTGGGGGGCAGAGACTGTCGAGCTGGGGAGACAAAGCGATAGAGGTGCCAGTGGAGGTGGGCGGAAGTCTGACCTTGCTGAGGCGCGGCGAGGGGTCGTGTGGTCGGTTCCGGGCCAGGAATTCTCAGGCACGGTGTCCCAGAAACAAATCTGCCAGGGGCGGGGGAAGTCGGACCTGGCGGAGGCGCGGCGGGGGTCGGGGTCGGTACCGGGCCAGGATCTGTCGAGTTGGGGGTCCCAAAAGCATGGGAGCAAGGGGGGGGGATGTCGGACCTGGTGGAGGCGCGGTGGGAGGTCGGGATCGGGTCCAGGCAAAGATTTGTCAAGCAAGGGGTCCCAAAAATAGAGGAGCAGGGGGGGATGTCAGGCCGGATGGAGGCGCGGTGGGAAGTCGGTGTCGGTTCCAGGGCATGAAATGTCGGGAAGGGTGATTCAAAAGCAGAGGTGCCAGAGGCGGCGGATGTCGGACCTATCGAATGTGCGTGCGTGGCCCTGATGCGAGAGCCGCATTGTGCAAACGAACCTGCCTACATCCTTGTAGCTGGTGCAGTCGTTTAAGACGAATGCACGCGACGCGAAGGCGAGAACCGCAGTTTGAAAACGTGCTGGCGTCCGTCTTTGCAATTGCTGCAGACTGAAGACGAATGCGCGTGGTGCTAAGGCGATAGCCGCATCAACCAGCCCACCAGCCTGGTAACATTTGCAAGTTACCTAACAGCGAAGACTGATAGGTTCCTAGTGGGGTCAAAAGAAAGCATCCTGATTCCCCAGGGGGTCTGGGCAGGATCCGGGGGATGCCGGGGAAAACCGGGGACTCCCCAGGACTCCTATAGATTCCTATCGTTTCCTATGGATTCCTACAGATTCTGTTCACTGAACACCATTCCCAGGCCACATTTTGAATGCCCGGAGCCAACTGTCTGGGCCACTTCGTGTTCTTCGTGCTCCCAGAACACCATTCCCAGGCCACATTTTGAATGCCCGGAGCCAACTGTAGGCCACTTCGTGTTCTTCGTGTTCCCAGAACACCATTCCCAGGCCCCATTTTGAATGCCCGGAGCCAACTGTAGGCCACTTCGTGTTCTTCGTGTTCCCAGGACACCATTCCCAGGTCACATTTTGAATGCCCAGAGCCAATTGTAGGCCACTTCGTGTTCTTCGTGTTCCCAGAACACCATTCCTGTACCATGTTTTGATTGCCCGGGGCCAGCTGTTGGCTTTTCGTGATCTTCGTGTTCCCAGAACACCAGTCTTGATCCATATTTTGAATGCCCGAGCTGAGGCAGGCTGAGGCCGAGGCAGGCTGAGGCTGAGGCTGAGGCACGCCGAGGCAGGCTGAGGCTGAGGCAGGCTGATGCTGAGGCAGGCTGAGGCTGAGGCTGACGCAGGCTGAGGCCGAGGCAGGCTGAGGCTGAGGCCGAGGCAGGCTGAGGCTGAGGCTGAGGCAGGCTGAGGCTGAGGCTGAGGCTGAAGGCTGAGGCTGAGGCTGAAGCAGGCTGAGGCTGAGGCTGAGGCAGGCTGAGGCTGAGGCTGAGGCAGCTGATGCTGAGGCAGGCTGAGGCTGAGGCTGAGGCTGATGCAGGCTGAGGCTGAGGCAGGCTGAGGCTGAGGCCGAGGCTGAAGGCAGACTGAGGCTGAGGCTGAAGCAGGCTGAGGCTGAGGCTGAGGCTGAGGCTGAGGCTGAGGCAGGCTGATGCTGAGGCAGGCTGAGGCTGAGGCTGAGGCTGATGCTGAGGCTGAGGCTGAGGCTGAGGCCGAGGCAGGAGGCAGGCTGAGGCTGAGGCTGAGGCTGAGGATGAGGCCGAGGCAGGCCGAAGCTGAGACAAGGTGAGGCTGAATGAGGTGAGAGGCTGAATGGGAGGGGGGAGAGGAGGGGGGGGGAGGGAAGGGGGGGGGGAGGAGGGGAGGCTGAGGCAGGCTGAGGCCGAGGCAGGCTGAGGCCGAGGCAGGCTGAGGCTGAGGCTGAGGCAGGCTGAGGCTGAGGCTGACGCAGGCTGAGGCCAAGGCAGGCTGAGGCTGAGGCTGAGGCAGGCTGAGGCTGAGGCCGAGGCAGACTGAGGCTGAGGCTGAGGCTGAGGCAGGCTGAGGCTGAGGCTGAAACTGGGGCAGGCTGAGGCATCCGTAGGAATCCATAGGAATCCTGAGGAATCCCTAGGAATCCTTAGGAATCCGTAGGCATCCTTAGGAATCCGTAGGCATAGTTAAGCATCCTCAGGAATCCTTAGGAATCCTTAGGATTCCCTAGGAATCCTTAGGAATCCCCAGGAACCCCTAGGAATCATGATTCCTAAGGTTTCCTAAAGATTCCTATGGATTCCTAAGGATGCCTAAGGATGCCTTAGGAATCCCTAGGAATCCTTACGATTCCATTGGATCCTAAGGCCGTTGCCACTGCGACTGTCATTGCGAATGCGACTGCGACTGCGAGAACAACATAATTCCACACCTGGATTCTCACCTGAATCTTAAAGGGAATGCTTCCAGATATGCTTATACACATCGCTGTTAGGTTGCTTTGCCGGGATAATTTTGACAACGATTGTGCGCGGCGCTGAGGCGATGAACAAATTTTGAAAACTACCGTCCCTCCATCCGTCTAGCATTGGGAGTTTTGCAGCTGAAGGCGAGTAAGTTCTGAGGACGTCTCAAGCGAAGCGCCCGGCCCGGTCCACGGACACGTCTGGCGGTGTGACAGAGGGATGATACTCTTGATTTAGGGGGATGGGGGAGGCGGCGTTGGCGGAGGAGGTGGAGGGAGGGAGGGGAAGAGGAGGAGGAGGAGGAGGAAGAGGCGCGCCAGCGAGAGTGGCGACGCGGTTTGGACAGTGGGTCCACTTCACATGTTCGAGGCCGGAGCGTCTGCGGACCAAACAGGTCGCAAGGAGAAAGGAGAGGATAAGGAGAGGGAGAGGGAGGGTGAGAAGAGGAGGTGTAGGATGCGGGGAGGGAGAGGAGAAAGAAGAGGAGAAGGGGAGAAGGGGAGAAAGAAGAGGAGAAGGGGAGGAAGAAGGGGAGAGGAGGGGGGGAGAAAGAAGAGGAGAAGGGGAGGGAGAGGGAGGGCGAGAAGGGGTGTAGGTTGCGGGGAGGAGAGGGCGAAGGAGAAGAAGCGGCAGGAAGAGACCCCCACCTTGGCGTCCACACAGCGGCGCGCAGGGGCGAACCTCCCTCACGCATGCGCTTTCAGTGTAGCCACATTCTTCCTCGCGCATGTCTCACCCAGGAGTTAACGCATGCTCCCTCCAGTTTCGGATCAGCTCCTTACGGCCGGGAACTTTTTGATAGCATGTCGCGCCGCCGTTTCTGGCCCACCATGCTCGGGTGCGATGCGCTATCCACTTCGTGGTCCCGAAGCGTCAATGTCCTGAGCCTTTCCGTGCCTCCCGCCCCGCGGAGCGGAGCGACACGCGATCCACTCGTAAGGCATAGCGTGTCGCCGTGGCCGCCGTGGCGGCACGCCACCAAGCAAAAGGCTCTGACCGCATTGTTGGCCTTCTGTGTTCGCTGCGCCCCGTTGCGGTGTCTGCCCCCTTTTGCTCACATGCCACGGCTAAGGTCCGAGGCACTCGGGGGCCCCGCGAGGAAGGCAGGAGCTGTGGGACGAAGGGCGTGCGAGTACGGCCGCCTTGAGATGAGACGTGCTGCCGGACTTCCCAATCAACTTACGGTCGGGCACTTTTGGATGGCGTGTCGCGCCGCCAGTTCTGGCGCACCGCGCCTCGGCGCGACACGCTAACCCACTTCTCGGCCTCTCAGCGTCAACGCCCCGAGCTTTTCCGAGCCTCCCGTCTCGCGGAGCGGAGCGACACTCTATCCATTCGGAAGGCGTAGCGTGTCGCCAGGGCCGCCGCCGCGATACGCTTAGCAAAAGTTCTTGACCGTATCGGATATTTGGGTTTGCCGTTCTTGCGATATTTTATCCTTTGGCGAACAAGCCAGCCTCAGCGTGTATGCGCAGTGTATCTGCATACGTAGGTGACCGAATCGCGCCCTTGTAGGGGAACCGGTTTGCGAGTAAGTCGGGCAGGTGGTTGCTGGCTCGACGAAGGCATTGATCGAAAAGGGGGAACACATGTCACACGTCCTTGTCAGAGTGCACCTATGTTTTGCGCTGCTTCGCTCATGAGCCACGACACATGGTACACATGGTTAACTTGTGCTCATCCTCTTTCTTCTTCTCAGGCCCGCCCGCGCGACAGAAGACAGTTTGCTATCAGGAGGGGGGGGGACAGGGAGAGAGAGAGAGAGAGAGAGAGAGAGAAAAAAAAAAAGAAGAAGCAACAACAACAAAGAGAAGAGGGGCAGGAGGAGGAGGAGGTGGAGGAGGAGGAAGAGGCGGAGGTGCGGGCCCGAGCCGCTGAGGAGCTCGGCCTGCGCCCATGCGTGGTGCCCGTCCGCCAGGACGCCCGCGACACGAAAACCCTTCCTCCTGGATGTGTACCATAGCCATTTCCAGAGACACGTCATCATGGCATGTTTTCTCATTCGCACGCGCGTGCAGCAGTTTCATCTCGCGTGCATTTCCGCAAAGCTTGCCATCGCCTCGGTAACGCTGCTCCTAAACATCGTGTCGTGGCGACGATCATAACAAACACATGGGCAATTCTACATGCAATAGTGTCGGGCTTGAAAAGTCTGCCTAAGCGTGTGAGCCAAACTCCAAAAAGCTGCATTTGCCGCAGTGCGTGCCGAGTTTACCACCATGTGCTTTTCTCCCAGTCGCCGTGAACTCGTGCACCCCGCCGCCATGTCCCCCGCCTCTCGTCCCACGAGTACCAGAGCCCCGATCACCGCAGTCACATTCAGCGGATGACCAGGCAGCAGCATCAGACGGTACAGTTGTCGTCGGCGCCGATATTGTTGGACGTGACAGCACACAAACATATGCATCATATACAGCAGTCAACGTAGTTTCTTCTGGCAACACACACACGGCATGGTCTCTTCTGGCAGTTCGAACATGCAGTGCCAAGCTGTTGGTGTCAGTGCCGTTGGCCAATGTGCAGCATCGTCTCCTCCACCCTCGATCAAACCGTTAGATTATGTACAACATATTGGAAGAACATGGTGTGACGCAAACGGCTGCACTTTCACATTATTTTCATGTTTGGGCAGGGTCCCATCCGACATTCACGCTGGTTATGGCTTCGACACACGCAACCGCATCATGCATTTCAACAAACAGGAGCCGATGCAATCAACAGCAGCTCCAGCAAGTAAAGACATGATTGACAACTCGGCGGACACAGTTGCCATGGGCTCAGAGCCGCCTGAGCGCACTCACTTCACTGGAATCGATACTGTTGCAAACAACCCTCTCGCATTGGATACTGTTGCAGATGCAGTTGCAGACGCGCCTCATGCATTGGACACATCCTTAGCACTACTGTCAGATGCCAATGCAGACGCGCCTCAAGCTATGGCAAAGGACGAACATATTAATCACACCGCTGGTCTCATCAAATCAAGAGGAGGACCTGTTGCTTGTGCAATCAGAGCTCGTATGGTTCCACAGCTCTCACAGTCAATAATTCTACATCTGACGTTTCAGTTCTCCACGCCGCGCTGCGAAAAGACACTTGTTGTTGACCTCGCACATGCTGTCACGATTGTTGTCTTGCGTAACGTGCGTGGTACGCACATATTTGTCTTGTGATGCATGTGTGGGTCGCTCAGCATTCTCTGTCACACATGCCGTCTCGGCTGCTGTTTTGTGTGTAACATGCGTGGTGCACACCACGTGGGAATAAAAGCAGCCAGCGCAGTTGCGGCATTCACTCCAGCGCGCATTTGGCGCGCTGGCCTGGAGGATGGATGTTGGCAGGGTGGCGTGGTGGAGGAGCACCCGCGAGCAGTTTCTTGCCGGCCCGCAGGGCCAGTACAGGGCCAGACTACAGGCCAGCCCGCAGGGCCAGCCTACAGGCCAGCACACTGCGCCTGCCTATCGTCGGCAGCCAAGAAGGTGTCGCGCGAAACCCGAAAAGAACTGACAAAAAGCACGCGGCCCAAGGTCCAGGTGGTTGGGGGTACACCCAAAACCTTGGGTAGCAGCCCGAGCTTTCCCGCAGCGCTTGCACTTGTCATCTTTACTTGCACGTTTCAGGCGCTCTTCGTTTCTGCCTCAGCTAGCAGTCGATTTACATTTGACGTTTCAGCTCTCAGTGCAGCGCTACATAGAGCCATTTGCCCAACCCTCCTCGGTTGGGTTTTCGTTTTGAATAGAGCAGTGCTCGCGCGTCCTTCCTTCCTCCTGCCTCATCCCTCCTCCTCCCGCCTCCCTCTTGTCTCCTCTTGCCTTGCGCGGACCTCGCCATCCCTGGGGGTCTGCGATTTGCGAAAATGTCGCCACTTTCGAGGGCTGCTGGGGAGGCCAGCTGAGTGGGCACTCGCCGCGGATCAGAACTAGACCTCGCCATCCCTGGGGGGGTGCGATCAGCGAAACTGTCGCCACTTTCGAGGGGTGCTGGGGAGGCCAGCAGAGTGGACACTCACCGCGGATCCAAACTAGACCTCGCCATCCCTGGGAGGCTGCGATCTGCGAGAACGAGGCCATTTTCGAGGGCTGCTGGGGAGGCCAACACAGATGGCACTCACCGCGGATCAGAATTAGACCTCGCCGTCCTTGGGGGGCTGCAATTTGCGAAATTGTCGCCACTTTCGAGGGCTGCTGGGGAGGCCAGCAGAGTGGGTACTCACTGCGGATCAGAATTAGACCTCGCCATTCCTTGGGGGGCTGCGAGCTGCGAGATTGTCGCCACTTTCGAGGGCTGCTGGGGAGGCCAGCATAGTGGGTACTCACCGCAGATTAGAATTTGACCTCGCCGTCACTGGGGGGCTGCGCTCTGCGAGGCTGCCGCCACTTTCGAGGGCTGCTAGGAAGGCCAGCATCATGGGTACTCACCGCGGATCCAAACTAGACATCACCATCCCTGGGGGGTTGCGATCTGCGAGAACGTCGCTACTTTCGAGGGCTGCTGGGGAGGCCAGCTGAGTGGGCATTCGCCGCGGATCAGAACTAGACCTCGCCATCCAAGAGGTGGCTGCGATCTGCGAGGCTGTCGCCACTTTCGAGGGCTGCTGGGGAGGCCAACAGAGTGGGTACCCACCGCTGATCAGAACTAGACCTCGCCATCCTTGGAGGGGCTGCGATCTGCGAGGCCGTCGCGACTGTCGAGGGCTGCTGGGGAGGCCAGCAGAGTGGGTACCCACCGCAGACTAGAATTAGACCTCGCCATCCCTGGGGGTCTGCGATTTGCGAACATGTCCCCACTTTCGAGGGCTGCTGGGGAGGCCAGCTGAGTGGGCACTCGCCGCGGATCCAACGTAGACCTCGCCATCCCTGGGGGGCTGCGAACTGCGAGGCTGTCCCCACTTTCGAGGGCTGCTGGGGATGCCGTCAGAGTGGGCACCCACCGCGGATCCAAAGTAGACCTCGCCATCCTTGGGGGGGCTCCGAACTGCGAGAACGTCGGCACTTTCGAGGGGTGCTGGGGAGGCCAGCGGAGAGGGCACCCACCGCGGATCCAAAGTATACCTCGCCATCCCTTGGGGGGCTGCGATCTGCGAGGCTGTCGCTACTATCGAGGGCTGCTGGGAAGGCCAGCAGAGTGGGCACCCGCCGCGGATCCAAACTAGACTTCGCCACCCCTGTGGGCCGCGATCTGCGTATGCGAGACCGTCGCCACGTTCGAGAGCTGCTGGGGAGGCCAGCTGAGTGGGCACTCGCCGCGGATCCAACGTATACCTCGCCATCCCTTGGGGGGGGGGGTGCGATCTGCGAGGCTGTCGCCACTTTCGAGGGCTGCTGGGGAGGCCAGCTGAGTGGGCACTCACCGCGGATCCAAGCTACACCTCCCCATCCCTTGGGGGGGGGGGGGGGGGGGGGGGCTGCGATCGGCGAGACTGCCGCCACGTTCGAGGACTGCGGGGGAGGCCAGCAGAGCGGGTGCCCACGGCGGATCCAAAGTAGACCTCGCCATCCCTGGGGGGTTGCGATCTGCGAGGCTGTCGCCACTTTGGATGGCTCCTGGGGAGGCCAGCAGAGAAGGCACCCACCGCGGGTCCAAACTAGACCTCGCCATCCCTGGGGGGGCTGCGATCTGCGAAACTGGTGCCAGTTTCGAAGGGTTGCGGGGGGGGGGGGGGGCAGCAGAGTGGGATATCACAGCAGACCCACATTAGACCTCGTCGTCTCAGTGGGTCTGCGATTTGCGAAAATGTCCCCACTTTCGAGGGCTGCTGGGGAGACCAGCATCATGGGTACTTTCCGCAGAGTCAAATGAGACCTCGCCGTTCCTGGGGGCTGCCCTTTCCCCAACGACTCAGGGGTTCAACTTGTGAATGCGGTTCACCAAGCCCCTATCCCTTGATCGGGGGCCCGCGAGCTTCCCGAATGCCGTTTGCAGAAGTAGATCCGTCCATGCCATTTCATCACCGTGTATAAAGTCTCCCAAGCTACTCATGCCCCGCATTGCGCAGGGGTCGGGTATGTCGCCAGGGTAACTTGTTGACCTGGGCATGATGTTGGGTTGGAGGACGTGGAGGAGGTTCCTTGCTGCACTTGTGCCTGCAACATACGCTGCGTTCTATACCGTTCCACTATTCCTCAGCTGCGAGGCGCATTCCCTAATTCAGCACTGTTGCAGGGCACAGGCCTGCCGCTGTTCTTTTCAACAGCGCCACAGGTACTACGTAAGGTTTGTTTAACGTAAAAAGGAGGGGGAGGAAGAACGGAGGAGGGTGAGGAGGAAGAGGAGGAGGAAGGAGAGGAGGAGGTGGAGGAGGAGGAGGGAAAGGAGGGGGAAGAATAGGATAAAGAGGAGGAGGAAGAGGAGGAGGAGGAGGAGGAGGAACAGGAGGAGGAGGAGGAGGAGGAGGAGGAGGAGGAACAGGAGGAAGAGGAGGGGGAGGAGGTGGAGGAGGAGGAGGAGGAAGAGGAAGAGGAAAAATAATAGGAAGAAGAAGAAGAGGAGGAAGAAGAGGAGGAGGAGGAGGAACATCATGATGATGCTGATGATGAGGAGGAGGAGGAGGATGAAGGAGGAGGGGGAGCCGTCCTCCCTCCTCC